ACCCTCCATGGCTCTGTTCAGCCTTGGGAGCACCCCAGAGTACCCTACCCTCCATGGCTCTGTTCAGCCTTGTGGCTCTCTTGAGCCTAGGTCATTCCGGAACGGAATAACCTAATTCCAACCAATTAGGAGCTAACGCTGCCTAGGAGTCGACTCCAGGAGTCGAATCCCAACTCCTGGGGGTTAAGGAGTGGGAGTCGGAGTTGCAGGAGTCGAATCCTAGCAACGCTGGTGCTTTGTTGCCGAAGCAGGAAAGAAAACCAGATAAGGGCATTGGATGGTATACTATCTTTCCGGGATGGGAGAGTCTGGGGAAGAACACCAATTCACCCAGAACGACTCCTTGGAAGTCCGTCAAAAGCTTCTCCAGTAACTAGTACCTTGTCGATCATGTCGTGCATGCCACCGTCAAATCGTGCAAAACCCATCGTGCCACTTGGCTTTCAACCTCCGATCGGCCCTTTCAATAGCGGCCCCCAAGGAGCCCCAACCCCCGAAATCGCAAGGGTCCATCCGTCTTCGCACCATCCGATCGCTCCTCTGTCGATCTGCGCCAGTATCGGAAGGGGGGTTTTTTTCAAGCGCATCCTAGCTTCGCGCCTCGCTTATGCCGGGATCTAGGATCTGCAAGCCACGGTATTGGCCGTTGTGCCCGTCGTCTTTTTTCCCCCACTCGACTCCTCCTTTTCCCACTCAGTGGGGATGAGGGGAGTGAGAGCAGGAATGAGGGTTGTTTACAAAGTCGCTTATTCTGGCGTTTACGGTTTGCCGTTTGCGATTTGCATTTGCGAATCACGGTTCGTTGTACAAAAATACAGAGTTAAGAGGAGGAGATGGAGAACCGAGTAGTTGGATACAGGTTGCATAAAATCAGTCGCGCACAGGGTCACCTGGTCGACTACTCTTTATTGTAGATAGAGGACTGGAGGGAACTCGTATTGCGTGTATCGATCGCGTCGTGTCATGTGTCGTGCTGAACGCTCGTGATACAAGTCTTTGGAACGAGAATTGAATGCTTCTGAGCCTCTGAGGACTGGCTGGTCTGGACATTCCCGTATACCTTCTCTTCTCTGTAAAACCTATTCACACGCTCGACGCCAACCATGGCCTGGACGACAAGGCAGAGTGGCGACGGCAAAAAGCCATTTCGACAGGCCGCCACCATCCTCCGCGAAATGATCAACGACCCGGACAAGATCGTCATCTGCCCCGGCGTCTTCGACGGCTACACCGCCCGCATCGCCCTGGACATTGGTTTCGACGCGCTGTACATGACGGGCGCGGGCACGGCGGCATCGCGCACGGGCTCGCCGGACTTGGGCATTATCAACATGGTCGAGATGGCGGCCAATGCCAGCATGATCGCCGGGTTGGACTGGAGGGTGCCCGTCATCGCCGACGCCGACACGGGCTTCGGCTCGTCGCTGTCGGCGGCCCGCACGGCCAAGACGTACATCGAGGGCAACGTCGCCGCGCTGCACATCGAGGACCAGGCCTTCATCAAGCGCTGCGGCCACCTGCGCAACAAGGAGCTGGTGTCCCTAGAGACGTACCTGACGCGCATCCGCGCCGCGAGCATGGCCCGCGAAGCCTCGGGCCGCGACCTGGTCATCATCGCGCGCACCGACTCGCTGCAGTCTTTGGGATTTGACGAGGCGATCCGCCGCCTCAAGGCCGCGCACGAGGCCGGCGCCGACGTCGCCTTCTTCGAGGGCCTCGTCTCGAAAGAACAGGCCCGCGCCGCCGTCAAGGCCCTCCACCCGATCCCGTGCCTGCTCAACATCGTCCACGGCGGCGTCACCCCGGCCATTACCGCCGCCGAGGCCAAGGAGATCGGCTTCAAAATCGTCATCTGGTCCATCCTGTCGCTGACCGAGGTGTACAACTCGACCCGCCGCGCCATGACCGAGCTGCGAGACACGGGCTTTGTCACGGAGAGGGAGGACAAGGCCGGGGGTATCTACGATATTTTTAGGGTCGTCGGGATCAACGAGGCCGCAGAGTTTGATGCCGCCGCTGGAGGGGCTACTTTGAAAGGGGGGTTTTGAGTAGAGAGAATATAGAGACGTAAAATTGAAAGATTATGTTTGATATTGCCATGTGCTGCCTTTTGGGTTCCAGCCTTCAGAAGTAAAGTCCCCGCAGTCAGAAAGTGTGTATGGCGAAGAGATATATGCTCAGTTGCACAGATCATTTTCTCTTCTCATGGGCACTCAGCACCTTAGCATTTCTCTTGGTATCGAGAAGCACCCTACATTACCTACATTACCCCGTAGAGAAACGATAACGCCCAACCAACAAGGTATAAAATTCTCAAACACCTCATATATTGTGCTCTGTCAGAAATATCTACAGGAACTTGTGACAGATACTTCGGTACCTAGGTAGGTATGTAGGTATATCGCCTGCTCTAGGCACTCCATTCTCTCTCCTGAGACTCAACTTCAACCACTCGCAACATTTAAAAACATGCTCTTGAGAACGAGGTACTCGTCAATCCCTTGACGTCCACCCTCCCTACCGAAACCGGACTGCTTCACGCCTCCAAAGGGATTTTCTGCGGCTGAGAGGAGGCCAATGTTTACGCCGACGACACCGACCTGTACACACACAGAGACAAAAGGTCATATGCCGTCAGCAGAGTATCCAACGAGGGGAAAGAATGAAGTCGTCTTAATAGAGGCAGGGGAAGAAACAACTTGCCTCGAGAGCCTCAGTCACGCGCCATTGTCGGGGCATGCTGGACGTCATGACAAAGGCGCCGAGCCCGACGTCGACGTTGTTAGCCAGTTCGATGACTTCCTCCTCGGTATGGAAGCGGTATAGGGGGATGACGGGGCCGAAGACTTCGTCCCGCTCGGTGATGGTGCCGCGGGGCATATCTATTCGCAGTGGCAGTCTAGTTAGTATCTCGACCAGGGGCTAGAAGGTTTACTCCCAGTATCAATGGAGAGACTGACCTGCAATAATGGTCGGTTGGACATAGTATCCCTTTGTTCCCTCCACTCGGTTCCCGCCCAGGATGATCTTGCCCCCGTTGTTTTTGGCCTCTACAAAATCAAGATCAGCATCATTCTGATAGTCACCATGTGCTTATGTCATGAGATCAGACCTTCAATGTGAGTCAGCACTTTTGACAGTACGTTCTCGTGAGTTAAGGGTCCGACAAAGACACCATCCTAGAATCCTCATCAGTATACCTGGTTTCACCTTAAAGACCATGGCAAGGCTGTGGTACCTGGGTGCCCGGGCCGATCTTGAAAGTCGAGATGGTGTTGGACAAGGCTTTGGCAAACCTGTCATAGATGCCGTCTTGCACAAAGATCCGATTGGCAGCGACGCACGTCTGGCCGGTGTTTCTGAACTTGGCTGTCCCGGGAAATTAGCATTTCTGAATAGAAAATGACGGACAAGGTGCAGGTGCTGCTGACCCATAACGGCAGCCTCGACGGCAACATCGACATCAGCATCGTCAAACACAATAAAGGGACTGTTGCCCCCAAGCTCCAAGCTCAGCTTCTTCACGGTCGGCGCGCACTGCTCCATCAACAACCTCCCCACTCTCGTGCTGCCCGTAAAGCTGACCTTCTTCACCAGCTTGTTTGTGCAAATCTCCTTGCCCACCTCCGCGACGGTGGTCAAGCTGGTGATGATCTGGATCACTCCGGCTGGGATGCCGGCCTCCATGGCAAGGACGGCCATGGCGCCAGCGGAGAGAGGTGTCTCGCCTGCAGGTTTCCAGATGGTGGTGCATCCGGCAGCGATGGCCGCGCTGGCTTTGCGGGTAATCATGGCCATGGGGTAGTTCCACGGCATCAGACAACCGACCACTCCAATGGGCTGCTTCATCGTGACGAGTCGCTGTTTCCTGTTGGCGGTAAGGATGTTTTCACCGTGCGTCCTAATGGTGATCCCAAACTGTCAGCACAACCCGCATTATAGATTTATTGATGCGAAACATGCTCCGTGGGGATCCATATCGCACCTCTCAGCCTCGCCGGCAAACCACTCGAGAAAGCTGCACGCGTAAATGACTTCGGCCCTCGCCTCGTACAGCGGCTTGCCCGTCTCCAGGGTGATGATCAAGGCAAAGTCCTCGGTGTTTTCCAGGCACAGGTCATTCCACTTTCTCAGCATGCGCGCGCGGTCGCGGCCCGACGTGTTTTTCCAGGTGACAAAGGTTTTGGAGGCGCTGTCGATCGCTCGAGCGACATCCGCCGCGCCCATTTCAGGGAATGTGGCCAGTTTCTCGCCTTGAAATCACACAAGCTGTTAGGTCTGCCATGTTCTGCTATCGCGCGCGTAAAACCAAAGGAAACGGAGGCTGTCAAGGTAAGTAGTGCGTTTACCTGTGCCTGGATCGATCAAATCGAATGTTTTCCCAGAGGCGGCATCGGCCCATTGTCCGTCAATGAAGCCCTTGTAGTGTAGTAGTTTCTTGTTTTTTACGTCGGCCAGCGACTTGGTCTGCTGGAAGGAGCCGAGAGAACCCATGTTTGACGGAAGAAGGTGGTAACAAGTGACTTGATAGCGATAACGAGAAGATAAAAGGACCAGTGCGACACAGGGTAAGGAGACGATATCGGTTCAAGGGAAACGAGTATTTGTTTCCTCTTCTTCTCTATAAACAAAAAAGCCAAAGGGCAGGACAATCAGTCAATCAGTCAGGGTCTGGAGACGAGAAGTGCCTTGAACTGTGCATTCCCAAAACCCCACCGAACATCTGTAGGCACCTGTGCGCATTGTAGAGACAGACACCTCGCCCAAGGTCCTCCCGGGCCACCCTTGGAGGGGTATCATCCACTCAACCCAGTCTTCCGGGCTGTCTAGCCGTGGACCGCAAAAAAGTCATCGTCACATGTTCCCAGCTCTTTGCCCAGGGTACGCATACACGCACAAACATGTGCAGAACGGAAGATGAAATCCGGGGTAGGAATTCCGGGGTCGATACGGGTTGAGTTCGTCCCAGTGGGAAACAAGTCCAGTGGGGAAGATGGTAAGTGAGGACAACTGTAAGAGATGCAAGCAACGTGGAGAGAGTCTCAGTGGGGGAATAGTGAAAGCTTGCTATCAGAGAGACAGAGACAGAGAGGCCTTTTGGAGATCGTGAAGGAGAAGAAGAAAACCGCCTCCGAAGCTGCGCCGACTGATGCCAACAATGAGGGACGTCAGGGTCACAGCCTCGCCCGGTGTCGGGCTCCACGAGGCTGAATTTGTCCGATCTCGAATCCCCCAGATCCAGAGACTCTCCTCGACAACACCATCCAACCACTCCGACAGCGGAGTCGAATACGATACTCCCCAAGCGACAGGTGATCTCGGTCCCCCGGATCAGGCCTTAATTCGACCCTGACAGAACTTGAACGAAGGAACAAATGTGAATTCATGCTGTGTAAGAGAGGGGATACAGACATCAGCAGCCATGATTGCCAAAAACTATCCCGTCAAAATCTTCGCGCCTACGCCCATGCTGGGCTACGGCTATGATGTCGTCGACTTCTGGACCACCGTCTTGGACGAAAACACCCGTCCCGACGCCATCATTGCAGACAGCGGCTCCACCGACCCAGGCCCGTACATGCTGGGTAGCGGCCGGACGATTGTCAGTAAACAAGCCTTTGCACACGACCTCACCCCGATTCTCGAGGCCTGCTTCGACTTTGGCATTAAATTGCTCGTCAGCTCCGCCGGTGGCGCGGGCACGAATGAGCAGGTGGACATCCTGGTCAACATCGTGCGCGAGATCAGCGAGCGCAAGGGCTACCGATTCAAGGTGGCGACCATCAAGTTCAAGAACGACCGCGAGGTAATACTGAGCCAGCTACGAGCGGGCGCCATCACACCCTGCGGCCCAGGTCCCGCGCTGAAGGAGGAAGATGTGTCGGACGCCGTGGCCATCGTCGCACAGATGGGCGCTGAACCTTTTATGAAAGCACTAGAGGACCCGGACGTGGATATTGTCATCTCTGGGCGATCATACGATCCCGCGCCCTTTGCAGCATTCAGTATGCACCGCGGCGTCCAGCGCGACCCGGCGTGGCACATGGGGAAGATCGTTGAGTGTGGTGGACAGTGCGCGGTGCCCAAGGGCCGCTCTATCCTGGCGACCATGTACCAGGACAGTTTTCAGTTGACGCCTATCACACCGGGTCAGCGATGTATCCCCCGCTCTGTGGCAGCACACACCATGTACGAGAAAACCCGTCCAGACAGGCTCCCTGGCCCGGGTGGCGTTTTACATCTGGACAAGGTACAGTTTGAGCCACAGACGGACGGCCGGTCTATCCACATCCAAGGGGCTGAGTTTGTGCCTACGCCGACATACCAGATCAAACTCGAAGGGGCTACACAAGTCGGTTTCCGTTCCGCCTTTATCGGAGGCATTCGCGACCCCATCCTCATCCGGGGCATCGACGACTTTCTCGAACACACGGTGCGGCCGAGGACAAAAGCGGCGTTCCCGACACTCGGAGAAGCGAATGGTCCGCAATTGATATTCCACATCTACGGGAAGAACGCTGTCATGGGCCCGCTCGATCCCGATGCCACCACCGCGGTGCCCCATGAAATCGGTGTTCTGGGCGAAGTCATCGCCACGACCCAGAACGAAGCCGACGCAGTCGCGGGATACGCCAGGGTCATGATCCTCCACGGCGAATACCCCGGCCAACTGGCCACCGCGGGCAACTTCGCCTCGCCGCTGACGCCGTTGGAGCAGTCCGTGGGACCGGTGTACAAGTTTAGCGTGTACCATCTGATGGACGTTGAGGACCCGCTCAGTTTCTTCCCGATCGAGTCGTTTGTGATTGGCAGCTCGGACGCATCGCGGTCGAAGCTGGTACGGTCTGAACGGCCGGTTCGACAGGCTGGAGACGCAGCCACTCCTGTAAGCGCAGGTAAGTTCAGCTCCAAGACCCGAAAAGAAAAGGAGTTTATCCCAGGAAACTATGAAAACCCCATACTAACCATCCACTCTGCAGCCCCCGCGAAACACACCCTCCCAGATCTCTCGCAACCGACCCGTATCGCCGACCTCGCCGCCGTCGTGCGCTCCAAGAACTCGGGCCCCTACGAAATCACGCTCGACATCCTCTTCGACGACCCCACCATCTGGAAGCACGTGCGCGACAGCGCCGTCCTCAACAAGGACGTCATGAGGAATCTCTACCACCTGGCCAGCGACGACGACATTCTGACCTGTATGTTCTTCGAGCCCGCGCTCGGGTGGAAGTGCACGTTCAAGCGACCGGCAAATCAGTTGCAGGGCAGCGTGGGCGAAAGGGACACGTTCGGCACGCAGCAGCACGCGCCGTTGTTGAGGATTGAGGTGCCGCCGTTGAAGACCTGAGAGTGGTAGTACAGGATTGAGGATGTGAGTTGACTTGACTCGAGATGAGTTGATCTGGAAATGGGTGTTATTTGTCTTATACATCTGCAAATCTAGGTATCCAGGTATACATACTATGATATTCCTGTAATGAATGTACCGTGAACCTCAGAAAATGCGCGATGGGTGTTGTCATGTTATGTGATGAGGAGATAGATACTCCCTTCCTCGCTTTCTGACTGAGAGGATGAGAATCCAGCTACCCAGCCCGCTTTGGGTACGTATAAGTATTATCTACTATTTATTCTCCACGGAATCTAAAACATCTGTCTCTGTTGCGTAACAGTGAAGACCAAGAAGATCTAGGAAAAACAAGGACTGAACTCCTTCCTGTTTTACCTCGTCCTCTTTTTTATTCTAATGAAGAACACTATCAACAGGGCCATCTGATAGTCATCTTTCAAAACAAAAAGGGGGGTTCTCTCTTGTCCAAATCTAGTCCGTGCCATTTGAATCTCCCTGTATCTCTAGAAAGTCTAGTCTAGCTGCCATTCATCTATTCGCCTGATCAAATATCCTGGATGTTGAAAGTCGGGTATACGTTGTAGGATAGGGAGGACGGAGCAGACAAGGCTTTTCACAGAGATCAAGCCTTTGCGTGCTCCGGCACCGGCTGATTGACGATGCCCTCAATCTCCTGGGTCTGGGCAAAGATCTTCTCGTCCAAAGCATCCCTCTCCTCCTTGGTCATGTGGCCCACGTCGACGGCGACTTCCTCGCCAAACAGGGCGTTGATCTCCTCAAGCGACAGACCCTTGGTCTCGGGCCACCACAGGTAGCAGGCCACGGCGGTCATGGCGGTGGTGATGGCGAAGACGATATAGTATTTCCAGCCGATGTTGGCAAACGCCGTCGGCGCGGCGCAGGTGTAGATGACGGTGGCGAAGAAGAGGCCCGAAACGGAGATGGACGACCCTCGCGCGCGCAGGTGGTTGGGGAAGATCTCGGTGCAGTAGATGTACGTGACGGCGTCGACGCACGAGCTGTAAAACCCGACGTGGATGAATAGAAACGCGACGGCTGCCGCCAGCCCGGCCTTGTTGGTCGTGCCCTTGTACGTGGCCAGCAGGGCCATTTCGACGATGAGCGCCATCAGACAACCGCAGAATCCGATGACTGTTGATAGACATACTTGGTTAGCTTTCCATCTCCCTTTTCTCCAATGCGGAATCGAACTCACTTAACAGCCTCACACGTCCGACGCGGTCAACAATCAGCGCTGAGAGTGCGTTCCCTCCAACTCCAACAGTGACCCAGCCGGCCGTGAAGGCGAGTGTGGTCGGTGCCACGTATCCGAGGGCCGTGTACAGAATCACACCGTAGTTGTTGATGACAATGGTTGCAGTGCACTGACCGCCAAAGACGGTGAAGAAGCCCAGCAATAGACGCTTGCGGTTGGGCCACCCGGTAAAGAGCTCCTTGTACCCTCCGGCGCCACGGAGCTTTTCGAGTTCCAGTTGTTTCAGCAGGGCATAGAACTCCTCTTTGACGAGGATGCCCTCTGGGTCTCGAGGATCTCGGTGCAGCCACTCCATCACCTTGTAGGCGCGATCGTGTTTGTCGTGGAGGACCACTGTGGGTGACACGCGTTAGGCATGGCGGTTCCTGTTCACATTTGTGGGCAGATCGACTTACACCAACGAGGGCTCTCTGGGATGAAAAAAAGTCCGCATAGTAGCATCAAGGGCGCAAAGCACTGCACAGCAAGTGGGAACCGCCACTGGAACTGTCCAGAGTACTTGAAACAGCCGTAGCCGACCCAGCCAGACACCGAGTAGCCAGTACAGAGCAAAGCTCCGTGCGCTCCGACAAAGACACCACGGGTATGGGGGGGAGAGACCTCGCTCTGATACAGAGGTACTCCACAGACGATCATGCCAGTTCCAATACCTGCGATACTCAGCATTTTGCCCACTGTATAGGTCCCATGGAGACTAGAATGGCCTTACCTGTCAAGAATCGAGCGAACAAGAACATGCCGACGTTGACGGATCCACATTGCAGAGCTCCGCCCACCAAGCAGGTTGCAGCTGAAATGCCAATGCCGCCTCGTCGTGAGCACCAGTCGCAGATAGGGCCAATGGAGAGGGCTCCGAGGAAGCCACCAGCCTGGAACAAACCATTCATGGCGCCGGTGATGGCATTTGTGTGAGACAAGCCAGGGCCTTCAGTGTCGAGATGCAAGTACTTGAAAAAGTCGGGTTGGCCCAAGGTGGTGGCGATGATGGAGCTGCAGTAGCCATATGTGAAAGAGCCCAGAGAGATGAAGATTGTGATCTGGCGGCATAGACGGTTAGGTCACTAGAGCCATCTGCTGGATTGGGAGTGTCTATCTTACCAGAATGCTCACAAGTCTGATCTGGTCCTTGAACCAACCTTTGCGTTCTTCAGCCGCCATCTTTCTGGACAGAAAGAAGACTTGTGCGGCGTCAATTGGGTATGATAGCCTGTGAGATGACACTACTGGATAGAAGCAAAGGTCGAGATCTTGGAGGTGTTTGTGCAGGTCCACGTTACGGCACCGATAAGCCAGGAACGTGAAGGAGATATAGGAACAAAGACTCGACGGCTCTGTCAGCCAGGCATATTTCTACTCCTATAATCAGCCCATATGCAATTACCGAATTTGGTGTATCAGACAAGGCCCCGAACTTCGGCATGGCGGAAGGGGCGCTGCGTGGCCAGAATCAAGCTTCGAGCCACGGCATGGCAGGAAATCTTCTTTTTCGTCCGTACACCGTACGAAGCCCACCGTCCAGAGTACAAGGTCCTGGGTCCTGGATACCTGTCAAACCTGTGCCATGGGGTGATATTGAGTGGGGAAGGGGGAAAAGATGGGGAGAGGAGGAGACAAGACACCAGTGACAAAGGGGCTGGAGCGGAAATTTGCCGGATCCTCTCCAAGTACTGAGTCTGGGTAAAGTGAGCCTGGTTGTGTGTCTTTTCGATGGGGGATTGGGAACTAGTACCTTGTAAGGATAGCACAGAGAGCCATGTCAGCGGTAGACCAAAGGGTCCTCGTGCGTGCATTGACCGTATCCATTAGTCGCTCAGAAAATGGCTCTGAGCGGTGAATTTTTCAGTGGGTATTTATTGCTATGCAGAGGAAATCATACACAATACCAGGATGGTGGAATTACACGGGTTACGTGCAAGGGTGTAGGTACGTCGCTAGACATGTCATTCTGTCGGTAGTTGTGTTATTGCTCCCTCAACATACAGTATATCACCGAGTGTAATGGCTATAGTCTCCCTAGTCTCTTTACGCACTTCGACCGCCGTCAATAATCAACTCGGTGCCGGTAACGTAGCTCGCCTCGTCACTGGCCAGGTAGCAGCAACCATTGGCAATGTCGGTAACATCGGTCAATCTTCCCAGAGGAATCAAAGATACGAAATAGGCTCGATTCTCGGGTGTGTTCTCCTTGCCGAGGAATTTGTGCGACCTGCGTGAAGAGCTTGTATTAGCCAACGATGAAATATAGCTGCGAGTTGTGGTTCTTACAATCCTGTGCTGGCAAACTGCGGGCATATCGAATTGAATCGGATGTTGTTGGGGGCATATTCCTGTGCCAGCGACCTGGAAGCACAGCACACAGCAGCCTTTGATCCGTTGTACCATGTCAATCGTGGTTTCGGTCTCGTGGCTCCCGTGGATGCGATATTGATGAATGAGCCGCCACTCTTATGTTCCTTCATCCATGGTATAATGACCGCCACGGAGAGATAAATCGACTTGAAGTTGACAGCAACAACGAGATCGAACTCGTCATCGGGAACGCCTTCGGATGGCTAGATGTCACCATGGTCAGAATGCAATCGTTCATTTACTGAGGGAGAACTTACCTGGTTCGAGTAGCATGTTCCAGCATTGTTAACCACAATATCAGGGCCGCCGTACAACTCAATCGACTTGTCCAAAACACTCTTCCAGTCTTGGCGGTTGGTCACGTCGGCCTTGATGGCTGCGCACCCCAGTTCTTTAGCCACAGCCTCACCGCTTGCTGGGTTCATTTCGGCAATGAGCACTTTGGCGCCTTCATGGATAAATTTGGTCGCAATGGCCTTTCCGAACCCGCTCCCACCACCGGTGACAATCGCCACCTTACCTTCAAGTCGGCCAGGCATCTTGCACGGGAATAAAGACACTTAAGAGCTGGGAGGTGCTATATTATGCGCGGTACAAGGGACTTCTGATATCCACGCACTTCAGGCTCACAAGCGACACAGTTTATGGATGGCTAGGCCTTCGCAGGGAGAATCCTTCTAGTAATATGTACTGGAACTGCGAATCAACAACACAACCCCTCCTCGTCTTAACCGACTGTTCTCGGTCTGCTCCTCATCCCCATGGATCTTGGTGGGGATAGGTCGAGCATCAGAGAGTTTCTCCTCGTCGTGACCCCAAGCAGCAGGACCGAGATAGCAACAGCACCGATCGGAGAGGGGCGACCATGCGATGTCCTGCCGACAAACCTTCACAAATGCCACTCATCTCGTGCTTGTGAAATTATCCATTTCCCCCACTCGGCAACCTCCAGGATCCTGGTTTTCCCCCGCAAAAAAACGGGCCATAAGGGACCACCAAGGGACTACGGAGGGGCCAATACCAACTACTTGGGGACTCCGTACTCGGTACAAGTCTGATGACTACCCCAATATAGACTGGGCCATTTACGCCAGTAAATGCACGGCGCCTGATCAGCTCCTCTCGTTGCTGGAATCCCCCAGCTCTCACCTTCAGGGAGGCGCCCCTTGCGATGTGTCCCCGAAACCCGAGGCAAGCAGCTTGTCTTCCTCCTCCTCCGCTCAGAGCATTTGATGTTATCAATTCCCCATTGTTTCACTCCACTCAAAGCAAGCTACCTGGGGACAGAAAAAAAAAATAATCATAATCAATTATTATGGCCGCAGGAACTGTATCGGCCTTTCCCACTGCTTGGACCCCACTGGCTGAAGAACTGAGATTTTTCAAGCCGCGACGGAATGGGGTGACGAGAAGCCAGAAAGAACGTCGCTATCTCTGCAACGTCTGTGGCGAATCATTTACGCGCAAGGAGCACTGTCGCCGCCATGAGCTCGGTCGTAAGCAAAGTCCCTTTCCACGCCATCATCAACGATAGCATGGCAGTAGTCGCCAGTTGCCGAGCTGACCAATTGACTTGGTATCCACGCAGATCGTTGGCAGAGACCACATGCTTGCCCGATATGCGGGCTCACGTCTGCACGCAAGGATGTTATCTCCAGGCACATGAGAGTCCTTCATCGTGGGGCCGGAAAGCCAGCCTCCTCGCAGGACGGACAGCTATCTTGTATGAACCAGGACACATCGTCTGATGATTCTAGCTACGATCTCAACAGTCAGGCTGTACAGGGACATCAGCCAGACAACACCAACGGCGGAGAAACGACCAGCCTAGCGAATGGGCAGGTCATCCCAGAAGTTCTGCCATCATTGTCGACCCTGCTGAACGCACAGACTGGCGGGGTCGCCACCAACCCCAGCACCTTCGAGCTGGGTCTAGATCGAGGATGGAAAGTTCCCACCCTGGACCGTGTGCAAGCCCCCCCCGCGAATGTAGAGGTGATTCCTCGCGCTCAGATGGACTTCCCGCTTCTTGACGACGCTTTTGTGCAGTGGCCGTGGGACGAGCCGTTCTATGCTCTCCCGTGGTCAGAAGATGTGGGCAGGAATGTCGCAGCAAGACACACCGATCCAGACAATGGAGAATATCAGTCTTCGGGTTTGTTTCTGGGGCTGATCCCGTCGGAAATCGAGCAAGCCAAAGTCAACTTGCAGCTGTTCGACGTGGAAAATCGACTCTGCGACTTTGTGTTTCCCACAAATTATATGGTCATTAGGCTCGTCAGAGGATTCTTCAAACACTTCGCGCCGCACTGCCCTATTATCCATGCACCAACGTTCTCGATCGGCACGATTCAAGGTAGGTAAATGTGCCTATGCAAATTTCGACTTGGTGGCCTTGACCCTCAGCACTAACCCTGCGTGCCTTTAGCACCTCTCTTGCTCGCTGTCATGGCGTGCGGAGCGGTCTACCTGAATGAGCAAGAGATTAGTATTAGGCTATATTACGCCGTTCTGAAGCTGTTGAGCGAGGTATGTGATCAACGGACGTTTGAGCCACCAGGGTTTTCCAGATACAATGAAGAGTATCACGGTCAAGGTCTGACATGGACTGCGTCACAGAACGAAGATTTAGTCATCGCTGGACAGAGAGACTCGGGTTTCCAGCTATGGGAGTTACAAACGAGGCTCCTTACCTGCCAGTACGGACTCTATGGAGGTGATGATCGGATCCAACGACAGGCAAGATTGTCTTTTACAAGGCTTCACGTGGTATGTTTTTGCCAACTAGGCTGTTGAAGTCTGAGATGGACCAGCTAACCCTCCCTAGCTTTGCCGAGAAGCTTCTGTCGAAGCGACAAAAGTCTCTGCAAATGACTGGACAGGATGGGTATTCCGTGAGAGCATGATTAGGTGAGCAATCGTGCATGTCCCGTGGTTGGGCTTTCATCAGGTCCGTTTGCAATTCGCTCGCTAAACCACTGGCCCAGATGCGTGTCCTGGACCACTGTCCTCCGAGCAGTCCTGCTCTGTAACGAGGATAATGCGGTACTGAGGAGCTCCAACACCGAGTTGGAGGGGTCGCTGCCCTGTTCCGAGGAACTGTGGACAGCGGGCGGACTCAGTTGGCAGAATTCGACCCGAGTCACAATTTCCTCGGTGGTATGCTTTCGACAGCTTCTCTCGGGCGCTCCACTCGACAACACAATCAGTCCATTTGGCCTATTGACCCTGATCAGCGTCATCCTTTCGCACATCTCCACACTTCGCCTGGGCAATGCTACTGGGACGGTCGTGGCAGATGAGGACTCGCTCCGCCTGGCACTGCATACGTGGGAGGAGGCGTGGAGAACGCATCCACACTGTACCACGGTCCCGGACGCGCCACAGGGCCCATTGATGGCCAACGCACTGGTCGTCCTCAATGCGGCGTACTATCGTCTGTATGCGAACGCGCAGATGAACGAGATGAAGGCACTCGCTCTCCTGCCTGTCGACCAGGTATCTCGGAGTCGGATCGCCAAGCTGTATCAGCTCGATAACCCTCCCGACCTCATGAAAGCAATCGTCCGCGCGTGCCGTTGCCTGCTAGTGCGCGTTCGCTTGGGATTGGGCTACCTGCTGAAGACATCGTGCTTAAACTATCCCTGTTATGCCCCGCTCGCAGCGTATGAAGGCAGTAAGTCTCAAAAGTCCCCTTGCGGACTACTGCGAGAAGTGTAATTGACGGTGGGGACTCTTAGGTCTCCTAATGTGCTGGTATCTTCTGGGACGGCGCCTCATGGAGATTCCAGGACCGGAAGAGCTCGTCATCACGACCATGATGGACGAGATCGTGGCGGAGAGCGAATACAAGTACGAAAAGCCGATTCCGAGGGAGCTGCTCCCCATCATGATCTACCGGGACATGATCCGCGAGCGCTGGGTCTGGCCTGGTAAGTGTTTACCCAAAAGGAGATGTGTTCGATCTCCTGACGAGGATACTTGCTAACCAGTGTTGTAGCAACATGTAATGTCTTGTCGAATAATCTCGACGGGATGATCACGAGGCTCAAGCCGGTTCTCGACGGGCTCCAAGCTTATTCTTCGGACAACTAACCCCGATCATGGTCTGTCTGGCGCCGATTGATGGCCGCAGTTGGGGTTCATGGGGTTCTTTGTATAAAAAGTATTCTATGTTTGGGTCGGTGGTCAAACAAATAAAAACACCCGGGTCTGTTCCCGACGTTACATCTCATCGTCACTACGCCCTGTCAATACACCAGCCATAACGATATACCACACATATCAGTCTTTGGTATACTATTTCCCAGCTAGTCCCGTGACTCCCAGAACCCGGAGGGTTATCACCCATCATCACTGGTTATCTCATTACCTTTCCCCTTGCATCTCCAATCACCACCCATCCAACAGATTAAATCGTCCAATAGGCACAAGTGGGGGAAAAGGGAGAACAAACACCGAGTGCGATGCGTGCGGGGGGGATCTGGAGTCGAGGGGTTTCGCCTCTTTCCCGAGGTGACAAGGGGAGGAGATGCGCCTTTCTTGTGCCGAAAATGCACCACCCTCCTACTACTTCTTTGGTAAAACGGTAACGAGGGATAATGTATAATAGATCGTAGAGATTCATAAATTATGGAGCGAGTGACATCGGTAAACGCCATATGACATACGGACCTCGAATCGTTTTTCTCGTCAGCGATTAGCTTATTAAATAGTCTTCCCTCCTTGTTCCCTGCTTGTCTGGCACCCTACCAGGACACAAACATAGTCACTAGAATTGCCCTGTTAAGCTGACAAAGAACTGTTGCCTCATCACCCCCCAGAGATTGAAGAGATGGCTTCCCAAGACGCGAGCCAGTACTTGGTCCCGCCCAAGACCCCCCCAGCGCTCAACATCCCACCCTCGTCGTCGACCGTGTCTGTCAAGATCATCGACTCGACGTCGCTGATCGAGGTGCCAATCGGCCTCCTGTTCGGCCCTCACATCCCTGGCCACGACAAGCTCTCGTGCCCGTCGTACAGCTTTTTGATCGAGCACGGCCCGCTGAACCGCAAGCTCCTGTTCGACCTGGGCACGCGCAAGGACTGGAAGAACCTGGCGCCGCGCATCGCCAACACCATCATCGACCACAAGTGGGGGTTGGAGGTGGAGAAGAATGTGGCCGACATCCTCACCGAAGAGGGCGTCGATCTCAAGTCCATCGAGGGCATCATTTGGAGCCACTGGCACTACGACCACACGGGCGACCCGAGCACGTTCCCATCCTCGACAAAACTCATTGTCGGACCCGGGTTCCGCGACGCTCTCGTCCCGGGCTACCCCGTCAACCCGGAGAGCCAGGTGCTCGAGACAGACTGGCAAGGGCGGGAGCTGGTGGAGGTCGACTTCTCGGCCGCGGGCGACCTGAAGGTGGGCAACTTCCGGGCGCTGGACTATTTCGGCGACGGGTCCTTCTACATTGTCGACGCGCCGGGCCACGCGGTCGGACACGTGTGCGGGCTCGCGCGCGTGACGCCCGACAGCTTCGTCTTCATGGGCGGCGACGCATGCCACCACGGCGGCGAGTACCGGCCGACCGAGTACCTCCCGCTACCGAAGAAGATCGACCTCGACCTCTCGTCGTGGTGGAACCGCAGCACGGTCCGGGCGCGCGTGGGCCTGTGCCCGGGCAGCGGCGCCGCCTTCTGCGACGTGTTCGCGCACAAGAAGCCCGACCAGGAGGTGTACCGGCTGACCAAGAACTTTTCGCACGACACGGACCGCGCCAATCTGACCATCAAGTACCTCGAGGAGTTTGACGCGGCCGACAACGTCTTCGTCATCATCGCCCACGACACCTTCCTGCTGCACAAGGAGTCCGAGGTCGAGTTCTTCCCGCGCGGCTCCCTCAACGACTGGAAGGCCAAGCGGCTCAACGAGAAGGCCCGCTGGCTGTTCTTGAAGGACTTTGCGGATGCGGCCCAGCAGGGGCTGAAGCAGGCCACCGAGATGGAGGACGGGCTGGTTCTGAAGCCGTGAGTGGTGGGCACAGGCAGCAAGCAAAGACCAAAGATCGCAAGGTGATTTGATATTTACCACCCCTTTTTGGATCATTCGCTCGTAGTCAGTCAGTCACGCTATTTGTCGTGCCCAGCCAGAATGGTCTTCGCTGGCTGCTGCTGTCAACCCAGAGGGGCGCGGCCGAGATATTTCTCAGAAGATGATGAATCAAGACATTTGCAAACCTCCTTTTTCCCCGCATAACTTTTCTGGTGTGAGTGAGGTCAACGTCGACTTGAGGCTGTTAAACTAAACATGGACACTGGTGATGATCACCTCTGTTCTCAATCTACCGAGTAACGAGTAAGAGCAGATATCTCTTAGATCCAATATGCCTCGTCTACCAGCTGCATCGCGAATATACATTTGCAGACCGTCGTAGCGCTCCCCTTGAACTCTCTCTGGCTCTCTGGCAGCTCTGGTCCACTCCTACCGTCCTCCTTTGCATGTAAGCTAGTCTAGCTCAGCATAGTAACACAAAAAGGTAGGACTTATCGGACAGAGGCACAGGGGTAAAGAGAAGGACAGTTACCCAAGCCGAGAACTCGAGGGTTCTTTTCAAAGATGGAGTTTACCATACTTGACTATTTACCGCAAAACAATGTATCTGACGACCGACAAGATCCGAGTCACAGCTTCGCAGCCTCGAGAAAGAGACCAGGTGGACATCCCCCCAAACCCCATCACAAACGTAGATTCACTCAATGATACACGTTCCTCTCCGCATTCACGTCGTTCTCCAGATAAATCTCAATCTTCTCGTTCATCTTTGGCGTGATGTCCTCCAAAAACAGGCAGGTGATGGCTCCAAGCGCGCCGAAAGCGATGGACGCCAGAGCCACCGTCCGAACCCCAGCAACATACGTGTCTCTCCAGGCGAGAGCAGCCGCGGCCACCATGCTGTCGGTGGTACCAGGAACAGCTGCAACAGCACCCAGCCCCGAGGGCAAGGCAGCCAGAACCTGTTGTGCAAGAGCTCGCGAAGCCCCAGCCTGCATCACTGCAGGAATGACCTTCTTCACCCCATTGCTGGAAACAGCGTTGGAAAGAATCGTCACATAAACAGTCGAGGCGACCGATGTACCAGCGTATCGACCCGTGCCCCTATTTTTTCCGTTAGTGAAGGGACAAATTAATCCGCGTAATAAAATTGAGTCTTACGCAAGTCCTCCAGCAATGCCTAACTCGGTTTGTTCAGCCCCAAACTGGACATAGGTGATGGACAAGTATTGGGCCCAGCCGTAAAAGGTGGCGCAAAAAAAGCAAAAGACAATGGACATGGCGCGAGTGTTCTCGGTGGTCAGCGCCAACAGCCCACCGAACATGGTCATCATGGTGACACAAAAACATTGGCTCCACTTCCAGTGCTTCAGCTTTGTCCCGATGGTGCTGAGACATATTGCCCCGACCAAGACCCCCATGCCTTGGGCCAGTGAGTATTTTGCCGCGAGCGAGGTGGGCGATGACGGGGTGGTGAAGATCGTCCCGATGATTGTCGACCATATCACATTCGTGCCGAGATAATAAATTGTCACGGAGAATGTGACAACCATGGGCGCGGACAACGAGCGGCCGTAGTTGTGTTTGAAGAGGCGAGGGGGTGTGAGTGGCTGCTTCAGGGGCACCCACGTTTCCCAGCAGGCGAAGGCAACGAGCGTGGCGAATCCCGATACCAGAGGACCGATGACTTTTCCATCGTTCGAGGGGAGGTATGACGCATAAACGACGCCTACCAGGATGAGGGAGACGGCGGCCGTGAACAGGACGCCTCCAACATAGTCGAGCTCGCGGAAGGCCTGGCCAAAAGGGATTCCACGAGGATGACGAGGTGGAAAGTACCACAAGATGAGAGCCACTGCCACCAGCCCATTCCCGAAGGCGGTCGAGTAGAAGAGCCAGCGCCAGCCCGGGGATCCCGCAGCCAGCCCGTACCGAGCAACGATCGGACCCGCGATAACGTCGACGTAGACGAAGGCGTCGGCGATGACAACCCCGATATGGCGCCATTTGTTGGGTAACAATTCGGGGATGGCAAAGGCAGAGATCTGGCAATTCCCGCCGGCAAATCCACTGATGACCATCCCTGTGATGGCTGCACCTGTGGTATTCGCGGAGCCCACGACAACAGAGCCCACGACCATCAGGACGTTCCCGCCGATGAGGAACCATCGTCGCCCAAAGAGATCGCTGTTGGCACCACAGAGCATGAAGGAGATGCACGTTGCAATGTTGTACACGGATCCCAGCCACGCCGATTGAGGTGGGTCATTCAAGATCACCGCCAGCTGCGCTTGGATCGTGCCCATGATGGGTACGGGCCAGAAGGAAATGCCATAGGACATGGAGAGCGCCTGGCTGACCATCAGTATCGATTTCGTTGCAGAGTTACCAGGGTCATCGACACATACGAAAACGACCAACCAGGTCTTGAAGGTGACCTTGTCCGCTGCCCCATCTTCCCGATTAGAGACAAGATCAGAGGATGGTGAAGACGGCGATTCGATGTGTTGCTGCTCCGCCTCGACCAAGGTAGTATCGTGGGCCTTTTCCTTCTCTGCTGTGCTCATGGTGGAATTGTCGCTGTTTTGCAGATAGATTTGTGATTGTCACAAGGATGGTTTCCGTCAGAAATCTTGCAGAGATTTCTTCAAGAGCCGTGAGCCGCGTAGCAAGCCATATCAATAAGTCTTCTCTCCCGCATATTACCCCAGGTATCAAAGCCGCTGGGTCCTCAAACCCCCTTGCGGAAATTCCCAGGCTTTTTTCTCCGCCAGCCGACCACTCGAATTCCGCGGACATGGTTATCATTGGTCAGGGCCAAAGCCGTTTCCTATTCCGCATTTCCGGGCTCGCTGTTCATTGGGCACTTCCCCATGGGGAACGGCATCTAACATCCCAAGGTTTGCGGGGGCATGTTGGAGCTGGGGACTTTCTCAATAAGAAATCAAGGAAAACCCAAACGCACCGAGATTTCAACATCTTGGACGAGCGGCTTCGTCTTGTTGGAGAGATATCAGAGACTCGCGTGAAGAGAGTGCAAAGATTCACGTGAAACTGACAACTGATGAATGGGGATAAATACCAGAGCCCACTTCCCATTTCTCCAAAATAGGCTAGACTCCTCAGGCTCCACTTTACTGACGATTCAAGTGACTACCATCTGAATTAGAGTAGTGAGTGAAACTCATATCTCCATGCTTGCTTGCTCACCATTCCCAGCGAATCGTGGAGAATTCCAGATTTCCGGTTCCATAGGGCTGTGGCTTTCTCTTTTACTTCCAGATCAATTTTTCATCCTCGATCTGATGGGGCGCGGGGCCTCTGGATAGATTGGACACTCAACCCTTCACCCACGTAAAAGGCAAGTACCCCCTTTTCTGGGACTTGTCAGTGTATCATTTCACAGATTTTGCTGGCAGAAGACCCGGTGAAAAAAAAAGGTCGTGACATCCTCATATTCCCCCCTATGCCGTCCCTCAGCGCAATCGTGACCGGAGGCGCATCGGGCATCGGTGAAGCCGTGGCAACCAAACTCGCCAGCCGCGGGGTCAACGTCACCATCGCCGACCTCGACACCAAGGCTGGAGAAGCACTCGCGAAAAAGCTCGAGACCGACTTTGGAGCCGCGGCCGTGTTCGTCCGCACCGACGTTTCCCAGGAAGACGACGTAAAAGCCATGGTGGAGGCCGCGGTCAAGAGGTTCGGTCGGCTGGATTTCGCGGCCAACTGCGCGGGGGTGTCGGAGACGGTGTGGGATGAAGAGCAGAGCATCACGACTCGGGACTTTGATCGGTGCGTTTGGGGTTAAACCCTCAATAATTGTTCTGAGAAGTTGGGAGAGTCACAGAGTACCGATTTGCTCTGGAAGATGCTAGTGGGATCATGTCAAGAACAATCTCTGTGTGTCCTGGATGTGGCTGACGCTGATTCCCCATCACTACAATTCAGGGTCTACTCGATCAACGCCAAGGGCGTCTGGCTGTGCCAGAAACACGAAGCGGCCCAGATGCAACGCCAACCGCCCCGTCCGATCAGCCTGTCGGGCCCATCGTCGTCCCGGACTATCCCCGGCCAGAGGGGCTCCATCGTCCACATCTCGTCCGTGTGCGGTCTCATCTCGCAGGGCCTCGGGGCGTACACGCCCGCGAAGCACGCCGTGCTGGGCATCACCAAGAACGGCGCCAAGTTCTACGGCAAGGACCAGATCCGCGTCAACGCCGTGTGCCCCGGGTGGGTGTACACGCCGCTGCTGGAGAAGGTCATGGGCCAGCAAGGCGTGGCGGGGACCGCGGAGACGGAGCAGAGCCCCGTCCTGGACCGCATCATGCTGGGCCGCATGTCGTTCCCCGAGGAGCAGGCCAGCGTCATCAGTTTCCTCTTGAGCGACGATAGTAGCTATATCAACGGGGCGCACATCGTGGTAGATGGGGGGTTTGTTGACATTCACCCGTGATGGATGGATAACCGACATGAATATTATCATGCATAATGTAGCCGGGAGTAATCCGCTCCCGTAGAAATTATATATATGTGGTACTAGCTCCCCGAGCCCCAAACACACTAAACAGGTCACTTCTATTGATAGAGCTACTGCACATGGTGTAACTCGTCACTTGCGCGCCCTGGAGACCGAGTCCTTGTTCTGCCATTTCCGCTTGAGCGACAACAGGACCTCCAGCCCCCGATTCGCGCTGACAAACATCTGGCCCATGTCGGACAGTGCCTGGATGCAGATCAGCAGCAGCTTCTGCGCCTCCTGGCACTTGGAGCCCGAGAAGATGCAGCAGTTGTACGCGTGGATCAGGCCCGCGGTGACGAGGATGTGCGTCGTCTCGGCGTGGGCGTGGCGGAGCGTGAAGAGCTGCCGGAACAGGATGGTCAGTTTGCAAATCTGCGTCGCCGACGTGGTGCAGTTGAAGGCGTGCGACGACCGATGACCAACAGGCGGGGGCAGGGACTGGGACAGTCGTCGGGCGAAAGGAGCATTTCCTGGCAATGTGCCGCTGCTGACTTCGGTCGAGGTCGAGGACGATGACGGAGGCGACACGCCCTCTGGGTTAAAACTCCGCGACTCGCCGAGAAATGGTCGGTGGAGGAGAATGACGGCTTGATAATACAACATTCTATACGAGACGGGGCGCGTGTCAGCCAAATAAACCCACGTGTAATTGAGGATAGAGGAAGCGGAATTTTACAAGAGTTGCAACACGGCCGCAGACGCATATTCGTCACTCGTAGACCCTGCAATCATGATCGAGCTGGTGTCAACTTGTAGGAGCTGTGGGAGGCATTGCTTCCACTCCACCAACTCCTGGGACATGGAATCGACGAAAACACGAGCCTCTTCAGCGCAGATCCGTTTCCCGGTATATCTATCCGCGCGGTTTCGTTAGAGCGCGCAGAAATCTTGGGGAGGAGAGCAACAGGAGAATCTCCTCACAATGTATCTGTTATCTTGCCGATCTTCATGGTCAACTCGGCCATGTATCGAGGAACATAGGTAATGGCGGCATTCTGGTTTGCGGAGAAGGAACCCAACCCCGGGGTTTGATTCGGTTTGATCTCTGGAAGTGGCACGTTGCTTTCGAGCTTGTGCATCAAACTGGGTCGTCCAATGTAGGAGCTCCAAAGCCTGTGTCAAGCTCGTCAGGGAAAAACAAAAAAAAAACAAAAAAAAAACAAAAGGGAAAACCAGCCATGATACAATCAGAGCGCGAGTCAGTTTCGATCTGTTGCACGTACGTGTCGACGGAATAGACGCTCCAGAATATGGCGCGCCGGAGCTTCACAAGCTCGTCTTTGGCCTCGTCGTCGTCCGTCTCCACCTCGAGATTCAAATGTAGACCAAGATCGGTGACCATCTGAACTGCCTGGCCTGGGTCGGAGCTTTCAGTTCATTTTCCAATCAGTCGCAGAGCCAATTTCTGATGCTTACCCGAGTACATCCACCCTGACTTGCGTATCAGCCGAAAGAGCTCTTACTGACAGAAGAGGGAGACACTGATACGTACCACGCGAATCTCGACCACTGGAAGCCTCGTATGATGAAATGACTAGGATGGCTTGGACGGTCGCCATGGCTGGGCAGTCCATCTCGATGTCGAGCAACACTTTGGTTCGACGGGCGAAGAACTGCGCTGGGTCGTCTTTGATGGTCGGAGGTGTCCACGTCGCATATGTGGTGGCAACGCAGTATCTGCAAGATAACATTTGGTTAGATCCTTCCCCGCGTAAGTCAAAATAGCTGCAAAAACGGGGCTGGAAATTGTGACCCATGGAAAGTGTGATATACATACATGGCGTTCTGAAGTGTTGGAGAAAAGAACGGCGTGTTGATTCCCGCCTCATAACGCTGCTTTTCCCTCAGGTATACATCCTGGTCTACCTCATTCAACAACGGAGCGTGCCAGGTGAAGAAAACGTCGGTCAAGTGCTGCTCGTAGGCTGGATGGCACGCCCAAACGAGACCAGCTCGTACGAGGGCGTCCTGCCCGTTGGCTCGGACCGACTGAGTAAAGGGCTTGAAGAGCGACTGCAGTCCGTTCCGCAACAGATGCATGTTGCTAGTCGCACCGTAGTAGCGCATATTGCCGTCCTCGGCCATTTGAAGTCGGCCCATTCGAGTTGAGAGCTCCTGAGTCAGCTCAGAGTCTGGGTCCTCGCCCTCTTCAGAAGACGCGTCTTCCGGGGAAGGGGCGACAATCATCGTGGACGGCGAGGACTCTTCGTCGGTGGATATACTCGGGGCGGGAAAGTCCATCTGGTCGGTCTCGAAGGAGTAGTCGTCTGCAGAAAAGTTCAAGTATGCCCAGTCCGGACTGGGTTCGGACGGCCGGCTGACGGGAAAGCTGATCTGATCCAATTGAGCAATGGCATCGTTCGGAAGGCCATCTTCACCCTGGTTCTGCGGTGGATGTTGAGGTTGATGCCGATCCACTTCAGGATCCTGTAGTATTCCCGTCGTCGAGGGGAGAAAAGGGTGCAATGCGTCGGTCGAGGTAGAGTGACCGGGGACATCGTAGTTGATCATGAGAGCACGCTGCTCGGCGACAAGAGCCTCCAAGCCATTCAACCTGGACACCAGAAGGCCCAAATCCTTACGCTTTGTGGCACTTCTGTGGAAGCAAGTCAGGGGCGGCGCAAGGGAGCAAAACAAAAACCACAGACAGGAACAAAACCCACTTTCGACGGTCTGAGCCAAAGGCGCAAACATCACCGTGGTTGCGACAGTTTGAGCAAGTCGGGCGGACTTCGTCGCACTTTTGTACAAGTCAGTTTGGGAGAAGAATACCATGTGTACACATGCTTGTTTGTGGTACTTTGATCTTCCGCTTCCTGCACCCCATACATGCCAACGAGGCATTCCTTCGATAGGACATGGATTGAGATCTTTCACTTCGAATCATGGTGTATGGCGTACGTACTGCTTCAGTTGTCCAGTTTCGCTATAACGAAGGTTGGAAAAGAAGACGAGGGTAGTTGCCTCAAGGTGAGAGGCCTTGGTGAAGCGGCCAGGGCGGCGAGGCGGCATTGCCCTCGGAACAAAAGGCGGGAAAAGGTGGGGGGGGGGGGGGCCAGCATGTCGAGTTTTGGGCCAAATCCGGGGAACCACTAAGCGAGCCTGTGCTTCTTGGCCACCCATTGGCGAGTCTGGCCAAGGAAGTTTCATCGACTACCACGACTACCAAGTAACTTGGGCGTCCTTTGTAGGTCATGTGAAGGGCAGACTATGATTTCGATTTGCTTTCTCAAGACTTGGTACACATGTAGCAGCACTAGTATCAGAGTACCCCGAGCTCGCAGCCGAGATGGGCTTTCTGATCAGATCTACAATAGTTCTCCGGTCCTCAAAAGTACCATATCAGCTTCTCCATATACAATGGGACTGTGAGCATCTATCTCTGCACTGCTGCTGCTGCTGCTGCTGCCCATAGCGATCACCGGATAAAGTCAAACCCACCATTCACGCCGATGATCATGCCTGTCGTCCATCGCGCCTCGGGCATACAGTGCAGGGCCACAGCGTCCCCAATCTCGTAATCATAGGCAACGCGACCATTGAATGACTTTGCAATGGCCTTCATCTCGTCAGTGTCCGTGTCGCGGATGGGCCCCAGCGGTGTCATCGTGTTCATGAGGGCCACCTTTTCCGCCACGTACGGGACCGGTTGCATGTCGGTCAGCACGGGGCCCACGTTGAGGGCGTTGACGGTCGCTCGCTCGGCCAGTTCACGCGACCACGTTCTCGTCATGGCGTCGAGTGCGGCTTTCGTGCCTCCGTAGACAGTGTGTCCGAGAGTGCCGATGGTGGCCGAGATGGAAGAGATGTTGATGACCCGCCCGGATCGGTCATGGGGCAGGTATGGTAGAACCGCCTGCATAACGAGGATAGGTCCAAGGACATTGATGGCATAGGAATCATAGAAGCTCTTTGTGGTGATATCCGGCAGGAGATCCGCCGGACAGACTCCCGCGTTGTTGACGACAATGTCGATTTGGAACCGACCAGCCTCTGGCCGGGTGAGAGACCTTCTGGCGGCTTCGACGATTTTATCCCCAGCGTCTGGTTGTCCAAGATCGGCTCGAACGCAAACAGCCCTCGTGCCGTACTCTGCCTGTATCTCGGCCACCAGGGTCTCGCTCTTGGTGATGGACGACTCCGATGTATAGTTGAAACAGACGTCCGCGCCTCGGGCTGCCAGGCTTCTCACAACAGCTGCCCCAATGCCTGGATTCGGTCGTCAGCGCTGTCATTGCTTATGTCTTTGTCTCTTTTCTCTACCTCTTGATCCTCCTGTGACTATGGCAACTTTTCCCCGGAACGGTCCTCGGCTTGTAGCGCAAGAACCCATCCTCAATCAAGTTTTTCTTAGAGGGAGAGAAAGGCTGGACAGGATATGTATGTGACCTGGAGATCTCACTTCAAGGTATTGAGGATGATTTGTCTATTGACAGAGGCAAAAAGTGCATACTAGTTTAAGGGGTTTACAGCAAGACGTACATGGACCACAAGCCCTGGATTCAATCCACCACGGCATCATCAAAGTTTCCGGCCCTCCACGCTCAAAGGTCTCTCGCGCCGGAAGTATGCACGCCGGAAATGCCGTACAAATGCCTAGCTTAACTGACCTATGATATTTTGTCTTTGGCGCTGCCGAGGCTGACGCAAAAGTAGGTTTTGTTTTCAAACCCAGAAACACGACCCTTGGTGACCCAATACCCATAGCTGCCTACCGGCGATATCTTCCACGTTCACTGACATCTATTGCATTGCAGATCTGATACACAACCAAACAGCATCACACTGGTCACTATACCGCAATCACGACGACCTGGTACAAGACTATTCTTCCCCGGCCACTATGGACTCCTCAGGATCCGACGCCATTATTGGGTCGTTGACGTGCACAATCTCTTTTCTCGCGGCATCCGAGGCGCCGGGCTGGTCCAAGTACCACGCGAGATCACCGCCCTCGAGTTCTCGAGCAGTGCGTCCCCGGCCCAGGAACTCGAAGCGATTGGATGATCGATACTTGAAGTTGAAGTCCTCCCAGCGTGGGGTGGTGATGAGTTCAAGGAAATGCACGGCCGAACCAGGCCAAGGGCCCCATACCGTACCGTCTATCGTTCCATTCTTGTACCTAGAGCCACCAGGTAGTTAGAAGTGCCCGTTTTTTATCATTGCCTCCATGTTCTGGAGAGGGTAGAAAAGAAACAACGAACCATGATCGGCACGACGAAGTCCACACAAGGTCTTTCATGACAGAATCTTTGTGCTCTTGGAAATCGTCCACTGCCTCCTGCTTTGGAGTGATGGACTTGATGTTCTCGGTCATGAGCTTCTCAGCAGCATTGTATGCAAACCTCAAGCAAAACTCGAAACATGGGATTAGGGCGCCATTGGCCGTCGGGGAGTTAGGTCCGCTCGTGACTGTAGTTGTATCCCGGTCAGTATCGCTGGACAATGTGTCGTGTTGGAAACGGACGAACTAAAGTAATTAGGAAATCCTGCAGCACCAAATCCTAGATATGAGCGAGGCTCGTCTTTCCAGATTTCATTTATCACTTGGCCGCCCTCGCCTACCAAAGTGAATGGCGGGCAGAACGAGGTGTTGAAGCCAGTGGCACAGATGAGAACGTCCAACTTGATGTGCGTACCATCGTCGAGGATGAGGCCGTCCGGGACGACTTCTCGAATTTCCTCGGTCTGGACCGTGACATTGTCTGAGCACAATGCCTCAAGGTAGCCGTGTCCGGGAGTGATCCTATCCATCACGTTAGTCTCCGTGGATTTCGAGGAACGGAGTATGCTCACCGGCGGCACCCCAACGCGAACTCGGGCACGAGCTTGGGAATAAGTTCCTTTTTCTTGCTCAACTGGTCTATCATCTGCCTCCTCGTTTCCTCCGCCGCTTGCTTCTGTAAAGACGAGTTCTTGACCTGGATATCGAAAAAGTGATTCATGGTGCTCTCGGCTCTTTTTCGATGCCGGAGAAATCCATCAGGATCATTTGCCCATGCCTCCTGCTGCTCTCTGGTGAAGACTGTTTCTCTTCCTTGTGGGGCGAGTTCAGCAACGAGTTCGGGAGTAATCCATGTAGGGGACCTGTGGAACGAATACAAATGTTTTGCCACTGTGACAGGCACCTTGGTCAGCCATTACATACTAGGACATGATCCGATGCCACATACTCACCTCGCTGGGCTTGAGGCACGATCTGAATGGCCGAGGATCCAGAGCCTATGACGCCGACGACTCTGTCGTCCAGCTTGAGAGATGTATCGTAGTGTGCCGAGTGGGCGAGAACACCTTTGAAAGATTGCAGACCCGGAATGTCGGGCCACTTCCAGTTGCTGAGAGGGTGTTAATCCCGTAGCCCTTTGGAAAATTGAAGCTCTCACCTACTTTAGAAACCCGGTCGCATTGACTAGAACTTCCCCTTTGTCCACAATCTTCTCCCCTGTCTTCAAGTTGTCGATCTCTACCTCCCATTGTCCAGTGAAGTCGTTCCACACGGCCTTTGAGACTCGATGCTCGAGATGCACAAAGTCATACACCCCATATGCCTTGGCTCTGCCGGTGAAGTACTCTAGCAGCTCTTTCCAGTCCACATATGCGCGGGACCAGTACGGGTTTCCCTCCCAAGAAAACGAATAGGCATGCGATGGCACGTCACACGAACAGCTCCATACATGTCAGCGGCCGGAGAGTTGGCTTGTGACATGGAAGAACATACCCTGGATAGCGATTCTCAAACCACGTTCCCGCAACTCCTGCATTCTTCTCGTAAATGACCAGCTCAACTGGCTTTCCCGGGAATCTCTCCTTGAAGATCTTGACGGCCGCAATTCCCGATACACCACAGCCAACGACAATGATTCGAATCGGCCTTGGTTTCCACATATAATGAGACGAATACTGGTAGGCAGATTTTGTCCCATTCTCGGCACCATTTTTTGACGTCTCGTGGACGCCGTTGGTTGCCGCCTCGATTGCCATGGTGTGACTGGTAAAGCGCTGTCGAAGTCTCTGTCAAATTTGATTCCCGATTTTGGTAATATCAAACCTGAAGCAGGGGCATGTGTTGTCACAAATTTAACGTGGTGGAAATCCATAGATCGGAATATAAGCCTCCGTTATCATCATCTCCGTGAAAAATAAGAGTGCCTAGCCTCAGGATAGAGTGTTATGGGGTCCTGGTGGAATAACGGAATTCACATCTCCGTCGTAAAGGCTTTCGCATCGTTGATGGGAAGCGGTCATGAGACCGCTGTGATAGGGAAGCGGCCCCTTGCTTGAGAGGTTGAGAGGTCAGGATACGAGAAACCACTGGAGGGTTTCTTCATTAAAGCTAAATCTCGACCGGGTTGGAGTGGCAATTCCAGCCGATCGTCCCCCACGATTGACAAGCAGATCCAGCCGAGGCGTCTCTCCATGAGTGTTTTTCGTGTAAACCTCAAGATTTAAGCCCGAGAAGTTGGAGTCTTTGTCGGACGTTTGCTCGAGCACAATCCTCCGCATTCTGTCGTGGCTTGCGTAATGCTCCATCACGTGCATAAGTGAAGCACAGCTTAGGGTGTACCGAGTATATGTGTGAGAGATATATGGACTGTCGGAAAGGCTTGCTGACCTGACAGGGTCCAAGGAGTCGCGAACAAATAAATCGGTTCACGACCAGTACGGCTTATACATAACGGGAGTCTTGTTTGCACTTGTGTAATGAGCAACTGTCCAAGCTGAGTAATGCGATGTTTTTGTCATGTATATGTAATATCTGCGGAAATGGACCGCCATATACTCCTTCGAGTAGGTACTCGTATGTACGTGTGCAGGTATGTACAAGGACGAGCGGCGGAGAGGTGGCTGGGTAGGTGGAAGGATTGATGGGTGAATGGGAAAATGGAATCGTGATTGGCCTAAGGACGAGTAAGGCAAGTAAGGAGTAGTTCTCGGTAGTAGTGGCATAATATAATATGAGTTGTGGAGCCAGTAACATGTCCTGCAGGGGCCTAGGTAGATGTCCAAAGAGGAAGGTGGATGAACCTCATACGGGGGAAACAACTTGGTCGCTTTTTTTCCAAGTACCGTCGACGGGTATATACCGAGTACCGAGTACTCTAATGCTCCTACATGCCCTTTAAGTCTGCATACATACTCGTTCCTTAGTCCCTGACACGGCTTGTGCGGTCCGCAGAAGCACTTTGCTTAGGGGTGGGTGGGACTACAGTAGGTTTTGGGGGCAGAGTGAGGATATAACGAGTGGCTAAGTAGGTACCTCGCAGACAGAGTTGTGAAGGGGCTGACTAACGAAATCCTTGAGGACCGTTATTTACTGCCACGAGTAGCCCGATAACGGCACCTGAGCCTTGTCAAAATTGCATTGACAAATTCACTTGTTCACGTGTCGAGACATGGTCGTTTTAGCTGCAAATCCTCCATCCAAGTCGGGGGCCCACAATGAATAAAAAGTCAAACCAGACCCGCACAGACTGTCTTTTCTTGGTAGTCAGCACGATCTGGTCTACTGGCACCCAGCTGGCACCCATACTGGTGCTCCTTGTCTTTGTCACGCCTGATGAGATGGCAAAAACGCATCAGATTGTCAAAACTTCCCCGACGGACAGCCTCATCGCGGGTCTCCGTGGGTCCAAACTCGCAATCACAGCATCCATTTGTCCCTCTTCACCAGCGTTTCTGGACTCAGACCCAAGGCTTGCTTACCTTACCCCTTAACGTTTACCCTTAGGCACACTGCTTACCTGCCTGTGGTACCTATGACATGGTCGATGCTACACCACGTACCATGCTGAAACCAGCTGTGACTGAGCCTTGCCGACTCCACTGCGCGCGCACTACCCACCTCGTGAGATGCCTTGAATAATGGAAGGATATAAAACTGCACACTTGCTCGCAGGCCTGGAGCATGTATGTCATCACCAGCATCCTGGAGGAAGCTCTAGTTGGATGACCGCTGATGACAATGAGATCCGAACAAACCCAACAAACATCTACAAACGCGGGGCCGGGGACGGGAGTCTTTTGCTCCCTCGAGGACTTCCTTGCCAACGACTTTGACTATGTCATCGTGGGCGGTGGGACTGCCGGTGCAGTGGTGGCAGCGCGGTTGAGCGAGGACCCCAACGTCCGCGTGGGCGTCCTTGAAGCCGGCCAGAACCGTCTGGGAGATCCCCTGGTCGAGACGCCGGGGACGCTGGCGTTCCTTCTAAGAAATCCAACGTACGCGTGGGACTTTACGACGGTGCCTCAGGTATGTATTGTCTCTGAACATGAAGGGGTTGAAGAAGTCGACGAACTAACCTAAGCCTCCGTGAACGTGCAGACCGCCAACAA